AGAAGAAGAAGAAGAAGAAGAAGAAGAAGAAGAAGAAGAAGAAGAAGAAGAAGAAGAAGAAGAAGAAGAAGAAGAAGAAGAAACCTCATTCAGGTATTTATTTATCACATGACAATGTAACGGGCAAAGGATTGGACTCAATTCCTATATCTTAATAGCTGGAGGTACTTTAACTTTAACAGCCATTTAAAAGAAGTGACATAGAGCTGAAGTTGGGGATGCAGGCCTGTCATTTCAGCTGCTTTGGAGGGAGTCAGGAGAATGAAAGGCTCAAGGACAACTTGGGAAACATTAAGACCTTGCCTTGCAATTATTTAAAAAGCAAAAGAGAATGCTGGAGAGTTGGCTCACCAGTTAAGAACTCACAGGGACCAGAACTCACCCATGCCAGGTGACTCACAAGTGCTTGTAACTCCAGTTCCCAGTCAATGCCCCACTTCTAACCAGTACACACACACACACACACACACACACACACACACACACACACATTTTTAAAAGAAACTTTTTAAAAGCCAGGCAGTGGTAGCCCACACCTTTAATTCCAACACTTAGGAAGACAAAGGCCAGCCTGGTCTACAGAGCAAATTTCAGGACAGCCAAGGCTACCCCAGGAGACCCTTTCTCAAAAAAGAAAACTAAACAAAAATAGGAGTTGGAGAGATGACTCAGTGGTTCAGCGCACTAGCTGCTTTTGCCAAGACCAGAATCTGTATTCTATTCCAAGTACCCACACGAGGGCTCACAGCCATCTGTAGCTCCAGTTCTATAGGACCCAAGGCCATCTTCTGACCTCTATGGGCACCATGCAGGTAGGTGGTGCACAGACATACATGCAAGCAAAACATACACATAAAAACATAAATAAACACATCAAAATAAAAAATAAACCTGGATGGGGTAACGCACATCTGTAACCCCAGCATTTGGTAGGATTACCTCCAGTTCAAAGCAAGCTCGGCTACCTAGCAAGACCTTGTATCAGAAAGCAAGAATAAATGATGAAAAAAGAAACAAACATTTACCACAGAGGACTATGGAACAGAAGGGTTGAATGTCTGAGAACAGCCCACGCTACATAGTAAGACTCTAAGGAAAAAAACATCCAGGTGCCATACACCTTTAATTTCCGTACTCAAGAAGCAGGGGCAGGGACTGGTGAGCCATCTCTCTAGCCCATGATTTTGTGGAGGGGCAGGGGAGGGACAAGGTTTCACTGTGTAGCTTTGTCTGTCCTGGAACTCTGTCTGTAGACCAAACTGGACTGGCCTTGAACTCACAGAGGTCTGCCTACCTCTGCCTCTGGAGTGTTAGGATCAGACATTTTTAAAAATAATTAATTTTTTTGTATTTTATGTGCATTGGTGTTTTGCTTGCATGTATGTCTGTGTGAGGGTGTCAGATTCCCCAAGCAATGGAGTTACAGACAGTTGTGAGCTGCATGTGGTTGCTGCGAATTGAACCCAGGTCCTCTGGAAGAGCAGTCAGGGCTCTTAACGGCTGAGTCGTCTCTCCAGCTTCACAGACTCTGAAATTTTAAGGACATTCTTGGCTACATAGTGAGTTGAAGGCCAACCTGGGTTTCATAATGAGACCCTATTTCAAAAACAAAAAACAAAATGGGAAAAAAATTTGCATTTCAGGTCATTTTCCCACAGAATACTTCTGGAAGTTCCCTACAAGTCCCAGCTTTTTAAAACTACTATTTAAATAGGGAACTGGGCGTTTTTTGAATTTAGTATCAGAGTATCTAAATTCTTCACTACCAAACCAACACACCAGGAAAGATAGGAGAAGTGTGGGAGGGATTCCTGGTGTGCCCCTCAGCCTTCACAGGAACCTGCCTTCTGGGAAAGACACTCGGTTTTTTTTTAAGGTCTATCTATCTATCTATCTATCTATCTATCTATCATTTATCTATCTATTATGTATGCTTGCAGTGTTTTGCTTGCATGTATGCCTGCACACAAGATCTCATCACAGATGGCTGCGAATCACCATGTGGTTGCTGGGAGTTGAACTCAGACCTCTGGAAGAGCAGCCAGTGCTCCCAACCTCTGAGCCACCTCTCCAGCCTTGTTTTTTTTTTATTTTTTTTATTTTTTTATTTTTTATTTTTTGCGCCTGTGGCCTGAAGCCCCAGCCTGTGCTTATCACCATCACCACCGGCTTTTATGATGCTTGTAGTTCCCAAGATTACCTCAAGGAGGCGCTCTGCACCTTATCCCTCGGCCACAAGTCCGCTTCTGACTGATGCGATTCCCAGAGCTGCTGCAAGGTGGCGCGCTGCACTTCAAACAGCTGCCGACGTCCTTCTCCGACTCATACCCCGCTCCCCGAGCCCGCCCACCAGCCATGCAAGTGCCAGGGATCATGAACGAGTCTGGAGTCTGGGACATGCTAGGGATGGCATGGAAAACAAGCGTTTCATAAACACACATCAGACCTCTGTATCGCCCCTAGACAACAAAGCATAATCTTCGAGGGAGAGTTAGTCTAGTCTAACCAGACCCCTCTAAGAGCAAGAAATACGAGACAGGCCCCTCCCGCATGCCCCCCATCGCACCCCAATCCTCGCCCCAATGTCGTCTTGCTAAGACACTGGCACGAGAACTCAGAGTTTACAGTTTTTTCATCTACTGAGATTGTAGCTCAGTGGAGCTCTTGCCTAGCATGACTCAAGTCCGGGGTTCCATCCTAGCACAGCAGAAGCCACGTGTGGTAAGGCACACGCCTTTACCCACAGGAAACAACTCACAAGTTTAATAAAGTTGTCTTTGGTTTCACAGCATGTTTGATGCCAGTCTGAGCTACAAGAAACGTTGTCTCAAAGTGGGTTCTGGGGTGTGCGCTTGCTTTGGACCCGGAGTGAGCTGGCCTTGACATAAAGAACCAATGAGTCCAGGGACCTGCACACGGCACAGAAATGCTCAGTAAGCCACTGCCTTATCGGTGCCAAAGACCATGCATCCTTCCAGATAAATATGGCTGAAATTGAGACGGTCACAAGCAGTGGAGGGAGAAAATGGAGGAAAGTTGCCCTCTGATGTGGCCGCTGGGTACCCACATACATAACAAGGGCACAGAATACGTACAAAAATAAAAGTTTTAAAACGGGGTCTCTCCCAGCACTTAGGAGGCAGAGACAGGCAAATCTCTGTGAGTTCCAGGCCAGCCTGGTTTACAAAGTCAGTTCCAGGACAGTCAGGGCTACAGCAAAGATACCAAACACCAAAACAAACAAATAGAATTAGAAAAATAAAAGAACAGGGTCTCACTACGTAGGTCAAGCTAGCCTGAACTAACCTTCAGTTTTAGCACTCAAGAGTTCCAGGCCAGCCTGGTTTACATATTGAGTTCCAGGCCCCAAAATATTGAGTTCCAGGCCAGCTGGGGCTGCACAGTGAGAACCTGTCTCAAAATAAATGAATAATAAACAATTTTTAAAAGTTTTTAAAAAGATTTATTTAGTTCATGCGCATGAGCGTTTTGCCCGCATTCGTTCTGTGTACCATTCGAACGTCCAGATGTGGACAGTGGATGTCTTGGAACTGAAGTTACCAATGGTTACAAACCACCACTTCGGTGCTCAGAATGAAACCAGGTCATCGGCAAGAGCAGCCAGTATTCTCAACTGGTGAGCTATCTCTCCAGACCAAATAAATCAAACTTTTATTTGTTTGTTTGTTTACTTATTTTGTTTTTCAAGGCAGGATTTCTTTGTGTAGTCTTGGCTATCCTAGAATTAGCTCTGTAGACCAGGCTGTCCTGGAACTCACAGAGATCCGTCCGCCTCTGCCTCCCAAGTGCTGGGATTAAAGGCCTGGACCACCATTACCTGGCAAATAAAAGCTTAAAGATGATGATTAGGGCTCTCTGGTGAAAATAAATAAATCGATGAATGCATTTATTCTGAAAGATCCCAGTGAGACCAGCAGCTCGAATGGTTTTATTGCAGTTTGTTTGTTTGTTTGTTTTGTATGAAGAACCTGACTCCATGCTCTGAAAGCTCGGCAGCTGAGATCTGGCAAAGGCTCCAGGGTTAAATTTTTGGAGCCAGGCTTGCCTTATTATCTTTCTCCACAACTCTGCCAGTCACTCATCCTGCCAACTGTTAGCACACCTTACCTATCTAGACTTCAACAGCTTCTGAGCACCCTTTGCCCCTGGATCTCTGGGAGTCACAGGGTACCTGTGGAGGTCTGAATCCGGGTAAGTCCCGCCTTTGTTCAGAAGTCTCCTGCCTCAGAGCCAGATCACAGGCCTTCCTCAGAATCAAAAACCACAACCTGCCCTTTCATCTCACGTCTCCCCATGGTACTGCTCAGCTTCTGCTCCAGCCACACTGAATGGCTGCTTCGGGGATTCCCATCTCAAGTTAAATCACTGCCTGTCCACTTTTCCATCACTCACTTCTGATGGTCCATGTCAAACCTGCGAGGAGCATGCATTTTGTCTGTTTCTGTTAAGGGACATTCAATCCATTTCCCTTCCTTTTTTTCTATCCCTGCTGTCTGTCTTCGTCTGTTTCCTTTAGATGATGCACGTATTCGGGGAACCAATCTGCTCTTGCAAAGGGCCACAGTGGGTTGAGGAGCATCAGTCTGAAGAAGCAGGCACCAGGGTCCGGTCGGCGGTTGCTGCTCCCGGACTGCCGGTGGAGCAGCTAGTGTCCACCTTGTCTCGATGGGAAGAAGAGTGTTCTGATGGGCTGGAGCTGCGATCCAGGCTTGGTGGCAGGCAGTGTCTCAGGCCACCAGCCGAAGGCCCAGCAGCACTCGGGGATCGCTGCATGCTGTTGGAGGAGCCTTGGCTGCAGGGCCGACGGCCACAGCAGAGCAGTCGCAGGAGCGCATGACGCAGGTCTCGGTTGGTGAACGTGTAGATGATGGGATTCAGGAGCGAGTTAGCCATGGCTAGACCCAGGAAGGGGTCGGCCTGCAGGAGCACGGGACACGCGCGCGCTGGGCACGCTACATCCAGCAAGAGCAAGAGAAACAGAGGTCCCCAGCAGACCACGAAGGCCAGGAGCACCACGCTGAGCGTGCGGAGTAGGGCCAGCGACCGTGGCGTGTGCCGCGATCGCGAGGATGAGGTGGCCCTGCGGGACCCGGGCCGCGCACGCAGGCGACGCGCGTTGGCCCGCACCTGGCAGTAAATCTTTGCATAGAGTGCACAGATGGCAGCCAGGATGCCCAGAAAGACCAGCACGCAGAAGAGCACGTAGGCCTTGGCGTAGAGCGGCAGTACAGTGGAGCAGGTTTCCAGGCGTCCCAGGCAGTTCCAGCCCAGCGCTGGCAGCAGCCCGAGCAGCAACGACGCGCCCCAGGCGGCCACCGCCATCGCCAGTGTGCGAGCGCGACCAGCGGCGGGCGCGGGTCCTCGACGGGCCATGGTGAGGTGGCGCTCCAGCGCAATGGCCAGGAGGCTCAGCACCGACGCGGCGAGCGCCACAAAGACACCCCCCTCGCGCGCGAACCAGAGTGCAGGCGACAGGCGCAGCGTGAGAGGCCCTGACAGCAGGATGTTGGTGGCGTAGGCCGCCCCGGCCAGCAAGTCCGACAGGGTGAGGCTGCCCAGGAGCAGAAACATGGGCGCGTGGAAGCGAGGGTGGCGACCCAGCACCAAGAGCACCGCCAGGTTCTCCAGCACGATGAAGGCGCACACAGCCAGGCACACTACCGCATCTGCGCGCAGCCCCGCGCCGGGCTGGTAGCGCGCCCCGCGCAGCTTGCCGGTGTAGTTGTAGTGAAGGGCGATGATCTCGCTCACCGGCGCGGGCCGCAGCAGCCCAGACTCCATGGGCCGCCCGCCGCTCACTGCAGAGAGGTCGCTGCTGTGTCCCGCCGGTTGTCCACCAGACCACTGTGCGAAAGTCTACGGGAGGCAAGGACAGTCAGGATCTAAAAATCCCGGAGAAAGAGCCCTGGAAGAGGGTCCCTAACCCCTGAGCTCTCCCACACTCCCAAAATTGTCCTCTGATATCTGCACATGAAAACAAGCTAAATAAAGTTAATAAAGTATTTTTTTTAATAACTAGCCCTGAAGCCAGGCAGTGGTGGCGCATGCCTTAAATCCCAGCACTCGGGAGGCAGAGGCAGGTGGATCTCTGTGAGTTCGAGACCAGCCTGGTCTACAAGTGCTAGTTTCAGGATAGGCTCTAAAGCTACAGAGAAACCCTGTCTCGAAAAACAAAACAAAAAAATAACTATCCATGGTGGCCATATCCCCCTGATTCCAGCGGTCCAGAAGCAGACAGGAGGACAGTCCATGGGAAAGATGGTGGAGGAGTAAGCAGGGCCTTTTGGTGCACACCTGACAGATGGAGGCAGGAGGATCAGTATGATCAGCTACATAGTAAGTCTGAGGCCAACTTGGGCTCTGAGACCCTGTGTCAAGTTGAAATAAAATAAAAAGGAACTCCCATAACACAGAAGCATACTCACTCATAAACAAATGAGAATTCAGAAAATCACGGCTACACAGACAACCCCAAGACAGGGACACATAACAAGGAAGGAGTGTCACACAGTTGAGGGCACAGATACACTGCCCAGCTCTGGGACGGTAGCTCTGTGGAAGACTGTATGCCTGCCCCTGGGAGGCCCTGCGCTCCAGTCTCAGCGTTGACCGCTCTCTCTTAACCCCCCCCCCCCCCCCGCAGGGAAACATGAGAATACATTTCTACATTCACACACAGATTGGACGACAGAAGCCACCACAGCGGCTCAGCCCTGGGAATGGTCTCACACCCAGGAGCACAGGCCACAATTTCACAACCTCCACCCACAACCAGCCTGGGGCCCAGCGCCCCACACCACGGATGCTTTGATACACATTGACTTTGCATTTTTTTAAAAAAAAAGAAATGTCATCCCCATAAAGCCCCAGTGAAAAGTTGATTGTGGCCACTCCCTGCCCAGTTTCACAGCCACTAGACAGCAGATGGGAACCTCGTAGAGGGGCACATGTTCTTAAATCACAATGACTCCCCTAAGCTGCCAACAACCCTTGGATCCTCTCAGCAATTCTTCCTTCAGTTCCAGTCTACAGATGAGCAAAAATGGGTTCTTAAAGAAACACCTTGCAAGGTGGCTCAGGGAGTAAAGGCACTTCACCCCAGCCTAATGACTTCAGTTTCGTGTCTGGAATCCACACAATGTAAAGAACCAACTCCCACAAACTGTCCCCTGACCTCCACATTTGTGTTGTGGCATGCATACATTCACTCACACCCAACCATCCACCAACACACACACACACAAACACACACACAAATAAGTAAATGAGATTTTAAAAGGCTTTTTTTGTTTTGTTTTGTTTGGAGACAAAGTCTTACTTCTGCCTCCCAAGTACTGGGATTAAAGGTGCACACACCGCCACGTCCTGTAAAATTTTACAAAAAGAAAAGCCTTGTACAGAAGCCTTGGACTCAATTTAAAATAAAGTGCAAGGCTGCGGGTTCCCTATGCTGGCCTCAGACTATGCAGCTGAAAATGACATTGAATTTCTATCCTCATGCCTCTGCGTCCTGAGTTAGGAGGTTACAGGAGCATGCCACCGTCCAGTTTATATGACATTGGTCCATGGACTCTCTGCATACTAGGCAAGCCCTCCACCAACTAAACCGAATCTTGGATCCTCTTAGTCCAAAGTAGACCCACGCCAGGTATGGTGGTGCACACCTTTAATTTCATGGATCTGGAGGCAGAGGCAGGTGGATCTCTGTGAGTTTGACACCAGCCTGATCTACAGAGTGAGTTACAGGACAACCAGGACTACACAGAGAAACCCTGTCTCAACAAACAAGCAAACAAAACAAAAGTAGATACAAAGGTGTCCGTTCTCTCACACAGTCCACAAAAATAGTGACAGAATTCACAGAAGTACCCTTAGCAGATGAGAAAACCCAGGCCTGGGGGACAGATATTTCTCAATACCAGGAAGGCAGAGGAACAAAGAAGGTCCTAGACAGTTTCAAAGTCGCACAGGGGACCAACTGAGGAGACAGACAGACTTGGAGCTACTGGTTGGGCCTCTCTGGGTTCCGGAGAGGCATCAAATATAGAGACGGTTGCACAGCATTTTCTGCTCTGGTACACTCAGCAGAGGGTCAGGACTTTGGTACCAGCACCCCAGTCCCCTGACCTACTTGGGAAAATGAAAAGTTTGTAGGAGCCCAGCAAGGCTGAGGTAGAGGATTCCTGGGGTCCACACTCCTTACCAGCAGGGGACCTGCGAGTACCTCTGGGGTTTTTAGTCTTCTCTGCTGGGGGACCGGGGGAGGTCTGTAATAAAGGTCCTAGAAACTTCAGCGAAGAACGCTGTGCCCTTCCAGCCCCACAATCGCTTCAAGGAGCCCAGTCCCACTTCCTGCAAGGTCCCCAGTGTTGGACACTCACCTCTGCTCCCGGGTAGTGCACCCAGGGCTGTGCGCCTGGGAACACTGCACAGCTGCTACGCGGGCGGGGCTGGCTGGAGGTGGCAGGCCTGGGGGCGGGCCCGCGAGGTGGAGTGCGGGCAATCGCCAGCAATTGCCCCCTCCTCCTCCCAGCCCCGGTTGCCAGCCTGTGCCACCCGCCGCGGCACCGGAGAGCGCCCTAGCGGCGGCTGGTACCAGCAAGTCCTAGCTTCTCCCTCGCGACCCCTCCCAGGGACACTCGGGGTGGGAGGGCCCAGAATCGCGGGGAAGGAAGGGCCTTTCCAAGTGAATTACTCCCCTATTCCAATTAAGGGGTTCAGTCTGTCCTCTGATACCTAGACTCCTGATCCTGCGTCCCAAAGACACCTTAAGGGCGCAGTACCTGAGCAACTGCAATTTATGAGATAGTTTGAGTGGGCGTGACCGCAGCAATCTTCAGCTCTCACCAGAGAAGACAGGTCTCCTCCGCTCTAGCAGCACAGGCCCCTCCTCCATTTTTAGGACTCTCTCAAGGGGCTAAAGAGGGAGGGAGGCTGCAAGCAAGATGAGGATGGGGGAACTTCCAGGTCCCCAAATAAGTAAGATCTGATTCCTCCTGCCCTACAGCTTCTCTGTCCCGGCCACACTTCTCTGAACCTTTAAATCTCAACCACAGGATATAGCATTTGTTGTGCTTTGGGAGACAGGGATTTTTGTTTTGTTTCGTTTTGTTTTGTTTTTCGAGTCAGGGTTTCTCTCTCAGTAGCCCTGGGTGTCCTGGAACTCGCTTTGTAGACCAGGCTGCCCTCAAACTTCCGCCCCCCAAGTGCTGGAATTAGAGGCGTGTGCCCCCACCGCCCGACTGGGGACAGGAATTTGACATTGCCTTGAGTACTTTTGAATAAGTAAGGTAATGAATAGATGTCTATTTGCTGTGTCTCTTCCCTAGGTCTATTTTTAATTTTCTTAAAATTACACTTATTTATGTATTTGTGTGTGCGTGCATATGTGTATCATGTCACATGTCATGTGTGTGGAGATCAGAGGACAACTTGTCGAAATTGGTTTTCTACTTCCTCTGCTTGTAACTCCCCAGGATTGAACTCAGGTTGTTGGGCTTAGCAGCAAACGCTTTTACGCACTGCACCGAGGCATCTCTCCGGCTTCTTTCAGAGCTTCTTGGTATGTTGCACTCTGTCTCCCTTCCTCCCCGTCTGCGTCGCTTTCCCACGCCTCTCACGGGCCTCTTCTCCGGCAGGCTAGCCTCAGCTGACACTACACCCCCACCGCCTTTAATTCCCAAGACGTTCCTGCCAGGGCCCACAGTCTGGTTTCCGGTGACATTCCTGGGACCACACTCTTTGCCCCGGTTCACCAGCCTCAGCTGGTCAGATATCGGGGACCTGGAGAGAGTTGAGCACAGTTGTTCCCGGTGGGAGGAATCTCGAGAAGTCCTAGGCTAGGTTGTGCCTCTGGTGAAACCCCTTGAAGAGGTCTCGAGTCCTGTCCCCTAATGTAGCCCTTTGGGGATCCCATGGCTTCAGACCCAGCTGTTCCCAGCGGGCAGAATCGCTCTTTCCAGTTTTAACCAATCGAAACCACCCACTCAGGCAGCGTAGCCAATAGGATGATTGGGGCCGGAGCTTAGGTGCCTGGTTGTTCACAACTCCAAGGCCCAGACATTTCTCTGGGTGCCTGGGAAATGAGACCCCGGGTCTTGCCTGGTAACCAGCAGGCGCTCAACAAATGGTTTTCTTTATCAGAGGGGAAGCAGTGTGGGAGGTGGCTGCTTCACACCTCCCAGGCGACAATATCACCTCCTGTGAGTTCTGCCAGGCACTGAGACTCTTCAGAACCGCCACTGGCCATAGGTCCCAGACCCAGCGACCTCTGCTCCTGCAGGCTCCTTGCTTTCTTTTCTACAGACTATGACTGCGGGACTCGTTCTGCTGCGACCTGAACAGATGTCACGAGTTGCCTGGACCACCCATGCTTTGGCCTCTCACTTTACACCTGGAGCCAACACTGCCACTGGAATTTTTCCCTCACCTGCTCCAAAGCCTGCCATGACTCCCTAAGTCTCTCTCCAACTAAGTAGCCCACTCAGCCCGGCTTCCTGACAGCTACATTCTTAGTTCCAGCCCTACTAATGGCTTCCTTATTCTTCAAGGAGCCTGGGCCAGTGAGATAGTTCAGCCATCAAAGCACTTGCCGTGGGTCTGCCAGGTGGTCAGCTGGCTACCAAGCCTAACGACCCGAGTCCGATCCTGGGAAGAAGAACCAACTCCACAGAGGTATCACATGACCTCCACAAGCGCACCGTGATGCTGGAGTACCTGCATACACATGCGCATACACACACTCATCTCACGCACATCCACACACGCACACTAAATTCTAACACATAGCAGAATAAAAACAAAAGCGGAACTTTAGAATCGGTCAGCACTGTTTCCTGAGTGCACCTCCTCACACGGGCCTTTTATAATTTAACCAAGAGGAGGATTGGCACAGAATATGAAGCCAGAGTCAGTCGCTTCGAGGCTGCTGAAACAGATATTTCAGGGTTCGACTGGACATTGTCTGTGCCTAAGTTCTGTAATTTTGAGCGTGGGTACTATTTGTCACCATTGTATCTCAAGAGAGGAATTAGGAAGGGCGACAACCGCACCCCAGGCATCCACAACACCGCACCCAGTTCCCACTGCCACCCACAGGTACAGCTAGAATCCAGCCCTGGCCCCCACACTCCTGCCACAGCCTGCCCCCAGGCTTGTCTAGGCCACTCACCTGCCCAGCCTGTTCTACAGCAGGATCCTCAGGCACAAAGGCTGCCACGCCCATGCTGTGCCCACTCTCTGCGAGGCAGGGCTACGCCTCACCAAGGGGCAGAAATGTGCTCCCCTTCAGACCACCAACAGCCTGCATCAGAGCCAGAGGGATGTGAGGGGCGCTGATTCTCACTCTTCCCCCTGCCTCCTTCAGGCCCAATGGCAGCAAGTGTGGCTAGAGGGCCACGCAGGAGCACTAGCTCCAAGTCTACTCTCAAGCGTGGCTTCTCAGCTCAATGCCTTTCCCTCAAATGGCAGGGGATTATTGTCATTTGTTTCTCTTTGATTTCGTTGGTGTTTTTCTGAGGAAGGGACATACACACCTCTACACCACATGTGCCTGTGGGCATCAGAGGCCAATTCTCTGGAGTGGCTCTTCTTCCATGTGGGTTCTGGGAGTCCGACTCTGGTTGTCAGGTTTGATGGCAAATTCCTTTACCCACTGAGCCATGTTGCTTTTCCAGGACTTTTGTTTTGGGAGACAAGCTCTCATGTAGCCTAGGCTGACCGCCAATTCCGGATCCTGTTGCCTCCACTTCCCAGCGCTGGGATGACGGGCGTTTTCTGTTCTAAAGCTAGAACCCAGGACCCTGTGCATACCAGACAAGCATTCTGCCAACTGAGGTCCAGCGCCAGCCCTGCTATAGTTTGCTTTTCCTGGGGGTCCCCTGTGGTCTCTAAGACCAGTGTGGAGGTGAGGACAGGGTAGCATGGTGCTGGGGGACACACCTTCTCCAAGACGTTGAGTGAGTCTGAGGAAAGACTCCATCCATCCCTCTGCTCTCCCCTGTCCCTCCTCAGGCTTGAAGAACTCTGCAGAGGAAAATCTAAGCTCACCTACCTACAAGGGCCCTCCTGTAGAGCTCAGGCATGTTTCAAAACAAAAGCCAAGCACTTGTGCGGAGAAGAGGCCCTGATCGTTTCCTCACGGTGACCCCTCGAGCCCCCTTCCCTCTCAAGTACTAGATTTGGAAGCCTGGCATCAGCCTTCTCATTCCCTCTGTCACATTCATTCTGCAGGCTAGGAGAGAAAGGGAGGGGAAAGGACAATCGTGCAGAAGCCTCGGACCAGCACACTCAAGACCTGCGGGCTGGAAAGCACCTACAGTAAAAGACACTGAATTCACTTGGCATGATGTGAGACTGGCTGAGGGCGAGGATGGAACAGGGAGGGTGGAGGTGGGACAAGAATCAGGTCTGGCAGGGCCTTAAATACCAGGCCTAAGAAGTGTGACTACCTCCTCACTGTGTGGCTGGGCACTGCTTGCTCAACCTCTTTGACCTCAGTTTTCTCAACGGTGAAATGGAGACACGAGAGTGGTTTTTTCTGACAGTGCTCACTGGTACCTTAATCCCAATCATGTCAGTGAGAGAGAAGCAGAAAGACGGGGTTTAAGGCCAGCTTGTGCTCTGTACCAAGACTGTGTTAGAAAATAGAATTTCCGCCCTCCTCAGCCAAAAGTAAAATTGGAATTTCAGGGCTGCGGCCGTAGCACAGTGAGCAGAGTGCTTGCCCTGCTTGCAGGTGCCCTGGGTGCCACCCCCAGCAGCGCAGGAGCCTGGCATGGTGTAGCACGGCCGTGATCCCATCCCTTCTAAGATGGAGGCAGGAGAATTAGAAGTTAAAGGTCATTTTCAACTCAAAAGTAGCACGAGACAAGCCAAGACACATGAAATCCTGTATCAAAAAAACAATAAAGGGGCCCGATGTGGTGACAAATGCCTTTAGTCCCAACATTCAAGAGACAAAGGCAGGCAGATCTGTGAGTTCAAGTCTGGTCTGGTCTACATGGCAAGTTCCAGGACAAAACAGTGAGTCTTGTCTAAAATAAAAAGTACTAACGGGGCTGTAAAGATGTTTCAGCAGGAGGCTGGGGAGATGGCTCAGTGGTTAAGAGCACTGACAGCTCTTCCAGAGGACCTGGGTTCAAGTCCTAGCACCCACATGGCAGCTCTCAACTGTCTGTAACTCCAAGATCTGACATCCTCACACGTACATACATGCAAAACACCAATGCAAATAAAATAAAAATAAATTATAAAAAAGTAAAAGATGGCTCAGCAGTCAAAGACACTTGTTTCTACTGCGGAAGGCCCATGTTCGGTTCCTGACAGAAATGGTGGGGCGGCTTACAACCTCCTTTAACTCCAACTCCAGGGGATCAGATGCCCTCCTCTAGACTCTGCATGTACTGTACCCATGTGTACAGACACAGACACATAGATAAACACAAATACACATAAATAAAAACAAATCTTTAGCCAGGTATGGTGTCACAAGCCTTTAATCCCAGCACTAGGAAAACAGAGGCAGGTGAATCTCTGTGAGTTTGAGGTCAATCTGATCTAAAAAGCGAGTTCCAGGACAGCCAGGCTGCTACACAGAGAAATCCTGTCTCAAAAAACAAAAACAGAAAACAAAACAAAAAAAAAAAACTTTAAAAGGAAAAACCTTAAAGGACTAGAAGAGATGACCCAGAGGATGACAATGCCTCAGTTTCTGGGCAGTGGTGGCGCATGCCTTTAATCCCAGCACTCCTGA